TTTAAAAATTCCTTTCCTTGACCACCAAATTATTTTTTTCTTTTCACGACTGAGTCTCACATCTGTAGTCTCTCATTAACTTCACTCTTCGGTTTTCTCACTGTCCCTGAGAATGTAAACTTAATCTGGCCTCCATACCATGGCTTTATTTATCTTTTTATGATTTGCTGGAGGATGTGTGTGGTCGCTGGTGAGAGACAGAGATGGGGTAGGAGGAAGCACACCCAGTGGGGTATGGTTACACCGCTATCCCTTCTCCTCCATTTCTCCTTTCAGAATTTTGGTTGTATCTCTGAATCCATGGACAATTATCCAAACTGTGTTCTTGCTACACAATAGGAAAGCAGAGGAATGATTGTCAGGAAATCAACCTCAATAACTGAAATACCTCCCTCCCACCTTTTACTTTTTTCTTTCCTTTTTTTGTCATAAAATTTACCATTTTAACCATTTTAAGTGTATAGTTCAAAGACATTAGGCACATTCATATCATTATGCAATCATCACCACCATTATGCATCTATCTGGGGTGTTCCCTAAGTTGCTGGGTCCAGGATTTGAACTACACAATTGGCCTTGTGGAATCCAACCTTCTTAATGATCATACCACCAGTTGGCCCCAAGCTGTGGTTCTTGCTGTCCTCTCTAAATCATTTCCGAATCACTCTTTCAGCTGCAAATCACAGAAAGCTGATTTAAGAACAGGCAAGTTTATTGGCTTTGGGTTTGGTGGATCCCAGTGGTTCAATCAGGATGGTACTTCAAGAAGGAAAAGTGGAATTAAATTATGAGTTTATTTTGGTGCAAAAAAATTAAAATCCATGTACAGTTTTTGTTTTTTTTTTTAAAGTAATATACATTTTACACAAACGTTTTGAAGATTCTCTTGTATTATCAAAGACCCAGGTTTGTTTTGTTTTGTTTCTTGGCTTTTCACAGCTCTGGCTTCATCCTAAATCTAATTCTCCATGAAGTTACAGAATTTTTCCAGTAGCTACTGGTGTTGAATGCCATTCATCCTCTAGTTGGGGAGGGAAAGGTTAAACAATAGAATTTATTTCCAAAAATTTGGCAAAATTTCCTTTTCCTCTGAGACTACTTCCTACTTATGCATGAACCAATCAGTGGCAAAGAGGATGGGATGGTCATGACTGACTGAGATTAATCAAGACCCATCTCGGAATCCGTGGACAACTATCCAAACTGTGTTCTTGCTACACAATAGGGAAGCAGAGGAATGATTGTCAGGAAATCAACCTCAATAACTGAAATACCTCCTTTCCACCATTTCCTTTTTTTTTTCCTTTTTTTTTTGTGGTAAAATAAAGATGCCATAAAATTTACCATTTTAACCATTTTTAGTGTACAGTTCAAAGGCATTAAGCACATTCATATCATTATGTAATCATCACCACCATTACCATTCAGCTCCAGATTTTTTTTTCATCTTTCTGCAATGGAATTCTTTTTTTTTTTTTTTAAAGAATAATTTTATTTATTTATTTATTTATTCATTTATTCATTCTTCTTCAAATTGACCAGAGAGAGAGAGTGAGAAGGTAAGCCAGGTCCAGGACTTGAATCAGGGTTGGCCACGTGGGGGTCCAGCACCTCAACCACCACACCACCTGCTGGTCCCTCTGCAATGAAATTCTATACCCATCAAATAACTTCCCCTTCCCTACTCCCCTTAGCTTCTGGCAGCTGCTATTTTATTTCTTGCTGCTATGAACTTGCTTACTCTGGGTACTGCAAATAAGTAAGTTATATGGTATTCATTCTTTGTAACTAGCTTATTTCCCTTGGTATAATGTCTTCAAATTTTGTCTATGTTGTAGCATGTGTCAGAACTTCCTTACTTTAAGGCTGAATTATAGTCCATTTGTGTATATACCACATCTTGTTTATCCACACTAGCATTGTTTCCACCTTTTGGCTGTTGTGAATAATGCTGCTATGAACGTGGGTGTACAAATATGTTCGAGTACCTGACTTTATTATTTGGGGATATATCCTCAGAAGTAGAATTACTGGCTCATATGGAAGTTCTATTTTAGTTTTTTGAAGAAACTTCATGCTGTTTTCCATAGCAGCTACACCATTTTACATTCCCAAGAACAGTGCCTGACAGTTTCAATTTCTTATCCTTGTCAACACCTGTTATTTTTATTTTTTTTAAGAATTTTTAAAATTTAACTTTATTTATTTATTTAATTTATGTTTAATTTTGACCAGAGAGGGAGAAAGGAAGAGAGAGAGAGAGAGAGAGAGAGAGAGAGAAAGAGAGAAAGCAAGTTGCCAGGTCTGGGACTGGAACTGTGGTTGCCCATATGGGAGGGAGTCCAGTGCCCTTAACCACCATGCCACCTGCCGGCCCTGACACTTTTTTTTTATCTTTTGTTTTTATAGTAGTCATACTAATGAATATAAAGTGGTATCTCACTGGGGTTGTGATTTTCATTTCCATAATGATTAGGAGACTTCAACACATTTTCATGTGCTTATTGGTCATTTATATATCTTATTGGGAGAAGTAGCTATTGAAGTCCCTTTCCCATTTTCTAATCAGATTTTTTTTTTTTTGCTGTTGAGTAACAGGAGTTCTTTACATATTCATTATATTAACCCTTTATCAGATATGTAATGTGCAAACATTTTATTCCCATTCTGTGAGTTGCCTTTTCACTCTGATAGTGTTCTTTGATGTGTAAAGGATTTTAATAATTATTATTTTTTGTCTTTACTTCTGTTAATGTGATGTATTCTTTTTTTAAAGGTTTTTGCCAGAGAGATACAGTAGGGGAAAGTGTAAAATCACCCCCCAGGGGAGATGGCCATGCTGCAATCCCTTCTCCTCCATTCTCCTCCTGGGATTTTGGGCATGCAAGCACAGATGCTCATCATGGTTTTCAAATCACCAGATCTGGGACTCAAACTGTGGTCAGTCATGTGGGGGAATCCAGCACCTTAACCTACGTGTCACCTGCTGGCACCAAGGCTTTTTATTTTGATATAGCTAAATTTATCTAGTCTTTCTTTTATTGCCTGTCTTTTGGTGTTCCTTTTGAAAATTTTGAATCCTACTTAGCTGAATACCTCTACTAGGCCTTCTCAGACATCACTGAGCATTTCAAGCTCTGTATTCTCACTCGTTTCTTTTCTTTAAATTATTTTATTTCATTTATAATCTTCATAATTATTTATAAAATTTGACCAGAGAGAGACAGAGAGAGATTAAGGGAAAGTAGAAGAGCAAACCTCCAGGTCTAGGACTTGAACCATGGTTTGCCATGTAGGATTCCAATGCCTTAACCACCATGTCACCAGAAGGACTTCCAACTTGTTTCTAAATTTTCCGAGGGCAGTGACTTATTTTGCAACTTTCCCTCAAATAGGTGGCCTATGGTATCCCCCTTGAAAAGTGTTTGCTTAGTAAATCTAAGTTTATAGAATGGCGTCAAATATCATTTGCTTGATTAACAGTTGATAAATGGATAGATGAATGAAAAGAGAACCCAGGGACACACAGGCAGGCCTCTGTCTACCCCAGGTTACATAGCTCTGACCCCCTCAGACAAACTGGTATCTTGCAGATACTAGGTATCTGGCATGAGTTTCTGCCAACCTTCATCCTCACTGCCCGCTCTCCCACTTTCCTCTGGAAGTACTTACCAAGAGACTATGGGCCTATCATCACAGAGGTTCCTAGAGAAGAAAACAGTTAGACAAAGTGTCCTCAAATTCTAATGCTAGGATTTAGTTGGCAAAACTATAATTACGTGATTATACTGTCTATAAGTTTATGACGTAGAAATTGATTTACTTTCCTCTGCCTCCTTTCCTTGAGCAGCCACCTGAAATCACAATAAATGCTCTTTTCTTCTTAGGTATATTATGCTTGCTAGCTCATTCCACTTTACTTCAAAGAATTCTCCATTAAGTTCTTAAATGTTTCCACCTGACACCATATTCTGCAGGTAACCTGAGTTCATCTCATTCCCCATAAGAAGTCCTATAAAACATTCCCGGATCTCTTTGTGTGCTCTGAATAGACTCTGTTGGTCTTTAGATAGTCCTGTCGTTCTTAATGGGGTTAGCCAACTCTTTTATCAGCATATTTTAATCAAAGCCTTTCAAAACAGTCTGAGAAGAAGTACCATAAGGCCCAAATGAAAAAGGCAAAAGGGCAAAACATAACCACCCATTGGGACAGAAGCAAAGGACTATTCTGGGAAAAGTTTTCAATTAGCAGTAAGGCGCCTCAGATAAACCTCTTTGGTTACGATACTGCCACCGTGCAAGGCTACAAAGGCCTATTCTGAGTGGATTTGAGAATACTACACCGTGGAGGCTACCTTTGCGTGGGAGAAAAAATTCCCAACTCAGCGGCTGCACGTAAATAAATTATTGGCTGTTCATAAACAATAACAAAGAAGAAGAAAAGAGATATCCAAGTTTTACTCCTAATCCAGTTTACACAGATCTTTAGTTGGAACAGATCATATGGTCCTAGTTATTTAGAGACTTTGACCAAGATGGTTGGACTTCCATCCCGTCCTTGGCTTGGGCAGTCGGATTAGACCTGCAGGCCGTCGGAGGTCACACCTGGGTCCCTGCTGTTCTCCCGAAAGCCCACTCCACGTCGGTCCTTCCACCTGCAGGTGGGGCGACTACAAGTCCCGGGATGCGCCGCGCTGGGAGCCGGGGCGGGGGCGGGCCTCCGCAGTGACGTCGCCGTCCCTGGGCGGGCCGTGGGGAGGGCGGGGTGGAGGGGCGGGCCGGGAGGCGGCGGGGCGGGGCGGGGGCGGAGGCGGG